GCTCGTTTTGTATACTCGAAGTTGATAGGCTTTCTAAGCGAAACCCCATTCGTCGTCACGACGGAACGTCTACGTTCCTTACTCAGGGAACGAGGGTTACATACGTAACCGAGACGTTTTCTGTTATTTTGTTGTAAAATTTTTGCTCTTCTGTTGTTCACCTGGTACAAATAGATGAATATATACTTGCAAATACAACACACACACACACACACACACACACACACATGTTGTGTTTTCATGTTTTACTGGGACTTTCCATAGACATAATGATTTTTATACTGTACAAACTGTATATTATATCCCCATAACCCTAAACCTACCCATCACAGAGAACTTTCTGCATTTTTACATTTTCAAAATTAATTGATTTATAAGCTGTTTTCCTCATGGGGACCAAAAAATGTCCCCACAAGGACAAGGATTTTAGATATTGCCATATTTGTGGGGACATTTTGTATATATATTTAAATAGTGATTTGCACAAAATTTGCCACTCATACTGCTAATATTTTGTAGTATTGGGTTTGTTTATTTTTGTAATTTAAGTTTTCTCATCTGGAATTTTTGAGTAGGCACCTCTTTATAGAGGACACCCTTGATAGAGAAGGGTGCAAGCTTTATTCTGTCTCAGATCATGCACCCTTCCCAATCTCTCTTTCTCTCTTCCCTCATCATTCCCTGTCTCTGTCATTAAAATGTTTAAAAAACCGCCAAGTTAAAATTGAAAATGTTTCAAATTTTTCCTCTATTTTACAGTTGATACGTGTTGCACCCCATCTTCTGTTATCATGATGCACTAGATGTTTCTAAGATTAGGAGATGAGATCATTTGAAACCATTTGAAACCTACTTCATCCTATAACACACTCGGAACATGGCTTCATTTTATACAGAAGGTTTGTAATCTTGATCTAATTTAGATCTTGGCTTAGAGCACATTTTTTCCTTGAACAAAATAAAACAAAACGAAAACGAAAAAATGTGACCAAATTGCATTCATGAAATTCATTTATATAAAGAATTGTAATTTTCAGTATTTTCAAAACAACAAAAATGTCATAAACCATTGACCATTTAGATTTTTCTTCCCCTTTAGTCCAATTAACCAGGTGTATTGAAATGGACTAATTACTGTACATGTTTGTCTACTTGTCTACTCAGTCTTTTTCCAACAACAAAGGTATTATTAAATACTGATTGGTATCTGGCTGGAGTGGAATCCTTAAAGACTAAACCATAATTTAGAAACAAAATCTCGCATATCATCTGTCACATTATCGCCCAATATGAACAACTTTTTTTTATCTCCAAGGTATTGTAGAAGGTTGTTGCTCAGCAACTGCACCTATTCTACAGGAACGACAAAGGTGGCTTCTTTCAGACAGGATTTATACCTAATCATAGTACTGAGACAGCACTAGTTATAGTCAATGACTCATTATTGTCCTGATGGATCTCTTTAAGATCCACTAGATCTCAGTGCAGTGTTCAAAACATTGTCCTAACTCTGTCTCGAAAATCATTTCCAAGCTAAAATATCCTTAACAGTTAGTTTAGAAACTTTTTGAATGTACATGGCTTAACTCTGGCATTCCTCAAAGTTCTGAATTAGAGATATTACTGATTTACTTGTATGTGCTATGGTTATTTGTATGCATGGTAGCTTTTCTTGATAAGATAAAGAAATGCATTATTTATCTCCTGCTAAGAATTTAGCAGAATCTAATACATTCTGAAGATACTGTCTTTGTTCTTGCAGATTGCAGAACTGATCAGCTTCCTTTTAATTTCATTTCCTTTTTAATTTCATTTTCTATTTAATGCGATAATTGACAATATATATGCGCAGATTCAAAAAAAGTTCTAAGTGCTTATTTGGTACTCTTGTATTTTGTGTAAAAAATAGACAAAGAAGTGGATCATTTGCAATTTCGAATAACCATTCATTCCTGCTTTTTTGTGATGTTTGAATGACTGAGAGTAAAAAAGGAGGAAAAGTGAGAAGGAAAAGATCAAACGTATTGACCATCAAACCATCAGACGTCTCTTTATGGGGAAACTTGATACACACTGATAGAATTCCCCCACATCCCGTGCCACAAAGTGAAAACACACACACACACTTTTTTTTTCATACTGTATATTTTATTCTCCTACACTAACCCTACCCATAAATCTACCCATCACAGAAAACTTTTGGCACGTCTAGTATGTTTTTCAGGAAGTGTCCTCATACACCATGTTTAAGTTGTAATACCCTAGTGAAAAATAAATATACCAAAATGTATTTGAAATACATTTATTTTATGCTAAGTGTGTACTACAAATGCATTTACATATTATACCTAATATGAATACCCTGGAATTGTATTTTTAGTATACTCACCCTAACCCTAATTTTGCACTTATACTGGTAATATACTTTAGTTATCCAGAAGTGGGCCTAGTGCTGAAGTTCAACCAAAGATATACTATTTGATTTTGCTAAAGTGGAACTATTGTAACGTATACTTTAGGTACACTTTAAATATCTTGCATTTAAAGACTGATATTATACAGTGATCATACTATCCTTACTAATAGTGATATTAAAACACATTTTAGGCTTAATATTAAGTAAAGAATAAAGAAGAACTCCAAATATGATGTATTATTACAAATATTATTTATATCAGTAAGTCTTAAGCATATGTCAGTAAATATGTTAATGAAATAAATGTATTTAAATACATTTTAGTATAGTTTTTTATTTCACTTGGGTACCCATGTCATTACACATTTGTGTCCTCAGAAACAATTTATACAAGAACACACACACACACACACACACACACACACACACACACACACACACACACACACACACACACACACACACACACACACACACACACACACACACACACAAAAGAAAATCTCTCTTTGTACTCTTCCCAACAGGGCTTGATAAAAATGTACAGTATTAAGGGAATTTCTCTGCCAAAATGTGCTTGATAATTACACTGTGCTCTGACATCTCTGTATATCTGTGGAATGAAAAGGGTTTTCACATCAGCAAGGCCTTTAGAATCAGTTGCCTTTGCATTTTTTGTTCTCATTCTTGACTGAAATGAGACAATATATTAGTGGCAAGAAATTGATTTAGAATTGGCCTGGTAACTTATGTTTCAGGTACACAAGACATGTTTCACTATTTGTGTTAGTAGTAAGCGTGAGATCCTTTTGACTGGAGTAACTTTGCTCAGGGTCAGAAAATATTGTTTCTCAGTTGGCCTTCGGACCTTGTTATAACTCTTTATGCATGTAACACATATCTTGCTTGTTATATTTTTTTATTTAGACGACAAAAAATGGTAATGTGGAGGCCGTTTGCTGTTAATCAAGCTAATATGACAAGTAGTTAACATAATAATAGCAACAAATAATAATTTTATTCCAAACCAGAGTGTAGTGTAGTTGCATGAGACCAATATAATGAATGCTGTAACCCTGATTTTATCCAATTGCTTTGTGGATGTGCATGTTGCCCAAGGTGAAGTTACAGGTAAATATACACAGTATATATTTCACTGCAAATATGGATGTTTCCAAGCACTTTCATCAATACTGTATCATGCTTTCATAGGGTCTGGCAGCTTTTTAATGAGTATGTCAGATTAATTCTGACACTCTTTAAACCTGATGCTCAGGAGTCTAACCTTTCAAGAGCAAAATTAAAATCCGTCCCATCACTCATTAGGTATGTTAATGCATGCAAACGAATGGATGCCATGTGTTTGACCCTACCAAGGACATTCTCTGTCCGCATCTCAGAAAGGCTATCTGCTCACCTGCCTTTTCAAAACAATTCTATTCCTGATATAAACGCAAACTCAAGTGCAATTACTGTAAGAATTCTTACTTAAATTACACTGAATTCTCTTCTGCATACTACATTTATTAATGTAGGATAATTTTCACTGCTCAGATATTTCATTATATCAAGTAGGGCTTCAGACCTGAATAGGCTGTATTAATATGCAACTACTGAAATAAGATATATATATAAAAAAAGGTACTCTAAAAGTAAAATGGATTTCAGCCATGACAACTCTCGGGATAATTTGTAAAAAAAAAAATCAACAGAAATGGAGGTTTAGTCTTGACGGACCAGATCTGCTACGCTGCTGCTGTGGTGCAGAGCAAGTGTGAATGACTTCTGCTAAATGCTTGGAACATAAATGAAAGGAAACTTGTTGCTGCTGCTAGAGAGAGGGAGTTGTTGTTATTATTATTATTTTGCTTTTGTACCATTATACAGATGTGCCACAGATATCACAGGTGAGAAACTCGATTTACCTGGTTGGAAAAATAACCCATCACCTATTTCGTTAAAAAAAGAAATATTTAGCCATTACTGGGCTCACAAACAGCTATAATAATTACAGTGTTGTGTGTAACATATACATTTGTGTGGATGACACTCACATATTTTTGTTAATATTTCTGGTAGGCCTATTTGCATTTCTGGTTTGGTGTTGATTAAGTGGTAGCCTACTTGAGCCTATACCTGTGACTGAAGTGACAGTCTGTGTGTGTGTGTTCAAGGGGGCGCTATTGCTCTAGCTGATGATGCTGTGCTTGAATGTGATGAGGCGCTGCGAAAAGTTTGAGCAGGTCATGAAGAACACAACCTCACACAAGCAGCATTTCATCACACGTTAGGTTTGAAGTCCTTAACATTTTATTTACATGCAGAAGGATGCGAAATATCAATATTTATATTACTGCGCTGTCTAAAATAAATAATTCCGCATCCGTCTGTCGCTCCGCACTCGTGCGCGCATTCAGGTGTTGACAGAAAAACCTAGTAAGAGTCGAGGAGGAGGGAGAGGGTGTGTGTGTGTGTGTGTGTGTGTGTGAGAGAGAGAGAGAGAGAGAGAGAGAGAGAGAGAGAGAGAGAGAGAGAGAGAGAGAGAGAGAGAGAGAGAGAGAGAGAGAGAGAGAGAGAGAGAGAGAGAGAGAGAGGGGGGGGAGAGGGGCACGCGCTCTCTCCTAGTGCACTTTGCAGTAAGTTGCGGGCGGCTGTTGCTGGCGTGGCGGTTGCTGGTCGCGCAGGGAACTTTAACACGCTGGATCCCAAAGTCCGTCTCCCTCACCTGCGCAGTTCGGAGCTGCCATGGATTTCGCGGCCGGATTTACTATCCTAATCACACTGCCGATCTTTCTGCAGACGAACGGCCTTTATATCTCCAGTAGCATAGGTACGTGCGGCTGCCTTTACCTATTTACACTTCCAGTTCTATCCCATCGCAAGATGTCCTGCCCGGTACCACCCAAGTGCGCATCAGACCTGGATGTTTGCGCACTGTCTCCATCCCCGTGTGTGAGAAACTTGTGGCATAGGCTATTTCTGATCTTGTTAATTATTCTCTGGAGCTTTAGGAAATATAAACAGACGCGGCATTCTCGTGTGCTGCATCATTACTGTTTGTTGTGTGTTTGTTTCACATGCTGCTGAAATTAATTCTCAGCGCAGCTCTGGCGGTGTAGTAGTGGAAATGTTTTGGGTGTTTTTTTCCCTTCTTCTCGCGTTTCGCGATTTTTGACAGACGCTCTGGCGATATTGATATTGATAGTCTGAGCGCGGAAGTATTGCAGGATATTGATTTCAAATAATAATAATAATAAAAAATCCCAGTTCTGTTCTCCTCCCTTGAGAGCGTTTAAACAAAACGTGCGTTTTGCACATAGAAACTTAAAAAACAAAAAAACAAACCCAAAGCTTTAAAATGGAACTTTGCTTTTTGGAAGAGAAAGACGAATGTTTTCATGCTGCAACTTTTGGTTTGTTGGTAACTTGAAATGGTTATTGGTAAATAAAAAAATGTAATAAATGTGCTAAAGGAAGTGGTCTCTTCAGAGATGCACATTATGAGCTCAGCATCACTTTGAACTGACATATCGGCTGTGTCTCAAAACCTAGTGAGTTGCCTACCTAGACAGCATTTTTGTGCATGAGGTGAATAAAATATTACTGGTGTTATAGGTGCATGTGGCACCTTTGGGTATCATAGATGTGTGCAGCATTTTTTTTTTTTTTTTTGCATCAGTTGCATAAAATATTATTGGGTATCATAGATGTGTGCAACATATTTTGAACATCATATGTAAGTGAAGCATTTCTTAGCATAATTTTTAGGTATAATAGATTCGAGCATCATTTTGTGTGTACAACATTTATGTGCATCAGGTGCATACGTCTTATTGTGTATCATAGGTGCTTGTGGCACATTTGGGTATCATAGTTGTGTGCAGCATTTTTGTGTATCAGGTGCATGAAATATTATTGACTGTTTTCGGTGCATGTGGCACTTTTATTTTGAGAATTATAGTTGAGTGGAGCATTTTTGGCCATTAAAGGTGCATGGGCATGTTAGGTGCATGGAACATTTTTGGGCATCATAGGCACATGCAGCTTATTTGGGTATCATAGGCTTGTTTAGAATCAGCTGAGCTGAATGTGAATTGAGCTCACACAGAATGCACATGTGATGCCCAAAATGCTGTCTTTGTAGGGTGCTCAATAGGTTTTGTGACACTCATTTAGGATGAGTGGTCTTTTTTTTCCCTTATGCGAGTCTGTTGTTGTGTTTCTTCTTGATATATTTCTGTATTGTAAATACGTCTATCAAGCATCCGGCTGTCATTGAAAACAATATGGCATATTGACAATTATACATTTTATTAATCTTGGAATTTTTTGATGGGAGGCAGATATACAATTACAGTCTGTGCACAAACAGGCGTTGTTAAATATGAAAATGATGGTGTCAAACAACTGTTAATGTGTTTCTTCACCCGGACCCGTCTGACCCATTGCTTCTCACGTGCATTAACTCGCTGCATGGGAAAGACTGTGCATTTAAAGTGTCAAAATAAACACATCTAAATTTAATTCGCTTTGTGAGAAGAAGCATTGTTTCTGCAAACCATCACATGAAAGTTGCCAGCATAGTGACATTCATTATAGATGCACTACAGCCAATGTGTGCTGTCTGACTGACTTTCTTTGTGTGTAATGCAGATTCCCTGCAGCATGTTCTGGGGGACTATGGACTGGTGAAGCCCGTTCTTACTGATGCAGAAGGCCGCTTCCTGTCCCATGCGGTATCGGTTGGTCCAGCAGAAGGGCAGTTCCGTAGGCGCTGGAGAAGAGAGGCGGCATCGGCCGACCACGCCAACCATGAGTCCGGAGGAGACGCGCTCGAGCAGCTCTACTACAACGTCACCGTCTTCGGCCGGGAGTTTCACCTGCGTCTGCGCCGCAACACACGCCTGGTGGCTCCCGGAGCCAAGATGGAGTGGCAGGAATCTGGCGGCATGCACTCCGAGCCTTTGAAGAGTGACTGCATGTATGTGGGTGACATTACGGACATACAGGGAGCCTCAGTAGCCATTAGTAACTGCGACGGCCTGGTAAGTGGCCAGATTGGCCTTCATTTGTGTGTGATGTCCAGTATGTCCAGTTAATTTACACAATCCCTTCATGCAGCTAATCTGTTCGATAAAAATTGCAATCATTGAAAAGAAACGTTAATGGAAAAGGAGTGTTTTTAACTGTCCTATATTCAATCAGCGTGAAAAATTAGGTGTTTTTGTTGCGTACATATATTTGTAGTTTTTTTTTTACATTTCAGGTCCTCTCAAGTTGTTTACTTCATGTATCCGAATACCAAGGGTGACGTTAAGGGGTATGAACCTGATTTCATCAAGTGCAACATATTCCTGAATCAACATCTTTGTTGATCCTGGAACAACATTCCAATCAGATTTGATAGACAAGTTCACATTTTATGTCAAGTTTAGACTTACAACCAGGGTTAGGTGCTTCTACATCAGTGTTATTCACCTATCATTTCACTCTTATTTTAGGGGTAAGTTATGGGTAGGGGCAGGTTTAGGTGTAGGGATATGGTTAGGACAATATTTTCGGACTGGAATGTTGTTCCAGGATCAACAAAATATGATGACCCAAGAACGCGTCTAACTTTGCAAAATAAGGACATGCGTTAAGGGGAGACAACCAGGAATGTGGATGTGAACCCATAATGAGGTGGTCACATTAAGGTCCTTAATGGTGTAGCCTAAATTTTTGTCCTGGGCCATGTGTTTTTAAGTGACATTGCTAAGTGACACTGCTACCTAAAACTATCCGTGCATGCAGTAGTCACAGATTTTGTGAGTATCCTGGGATATTTCTAATACAAGCTGAAAGGCAAATAAATAGTTGAGTGGTAGAGTGTGCTTTGTGACTTGTTGTGTGCACTGAGATCTGTGTTTATGGCAGCGACAGATGTGAGGATTGGAACAGAGGTCTCTTGTTAATTACTGGAGGTGTTTTTCTTTACTCAAATAAAACTATAATTCTAAACGGGCCCAGATGAGAAGCTAGCTCAGAGAGTCTGCCAGAGATCATGAGATCCATACGCCCCCTGTGGCTGACATCTTTATACAGCGAGAAAGAGAGACACAAAATAAACAGTGAATGAAAAATGTGAATAAACTTTACATGCAGATTAAATGATGTTTTATTAACAAAGTTCGGGAGAAGCACGTTCAGATAATTAACACGGGTGGAGAGCACTCAGCAATCATGATTAAAATGTTTCATTAACAAAGTTCGGGAGAAGCACGTTCAGATAATTAACACGGGTGGAGAGCACTCAGCAATCATGATTAAAACGTGTACATATAGACTCAGCAGTCTCACCTCATTTCTCTGACAGTTTAGCAGCGTCCCTCCACCACCCCTTCTCCACTCTTCTAGTCCTAAACCACTTACATACGGGGGGGAGTACTCTGGGTTCGGGCCGAATTCCGAGCTCGGAGCCCTCCCCCCGGACAGCACGCCAAATACGCATTATACTTTATTCCCCTTAATTGTATGTAAGTGTGAACTCGTGAAACTGAGGTTGAATAAATTATGTAGACATTAACTATAGAGTTCCAGTGCAGGGCTGTGCTGTCTGATCTGTTGGTCTCAGTGTGATCAGTGCTCGTAGAGGCATTATTGCCCTTGTGGAAAAAAGTGCACTTATATTTATTGATTGTATACTTAAAATCCAAAAAAAAAAAAAAATTTCAGTTAAGTAATTGACATAAATTAAAAAGTACTTAAAACGTGACCTACTGTATACTGTAAGATAATACTATAGACTTTCATTACATATAAACACACTTTAAAAGTGCACCGTATTTTGTTGTTGTTGTTGGTTTAACTTAAGGTACCTGGTTGTTCATTGAAAATTGAGTTAATAGAAGGAGATTGGTTTAATAAGTAGACACTCATCTGAACCACATTAATTATCTAGATACAAAGTTGTGATAAATTATGAAAATAATTTTAATTTTTAATAATTTAAATAATTTTTACAGTGGTTATTTGTCAATTTGACATTTAAAGTAGGCCTACGTTTAATTTTTATTGTACTTTTTTTCTGTAGTGTGTTAGAAATAACATTTAAAATCTATTTTTTTTTAGAATCCTTTTAAGAAAATATTCTCCTGAACATTATTTCCAGTAAGTTATCTAAAAAAATACATTACTTACTAGCTAGTAGCTACTAATTACATCATCAGCAGTGTTAAGATTAGATTTCTGTACCTTAGTATTTAAGGGCTGGAGGTTACATTAAAAACATACATTTTAACATTAGACATTTGGATTTTAAATCGACTATTGTTTTTTATAGAATTGTTCTATAGTCCATACAGTATTAAATGCACTAGAAGTAACTGCAATTACATTACAGAAAAATTAAGAGTAATCCCTTACTTTACCTTTTCAAGGGAAAAGTAATTCAATTACAGTTAATAACAATGAATTACTTAGTAATGCATTACACCCAACATGATGATTTCATAACATACTTTAATGTGTACTTAAAAAAAAAATTACTTGATGCTTCTTGACCATGTGAATTGCACTTAAATACAATGAAGTTTTGAAATAAGTTCTTTATACACTGAAATATGGACTCTAAAAGTGTATTATATTCATAACTCTTTTTCTTAAAAAAAATGCACTTGAAATGCACTTGTTTCACATGGGAGGTGGACAAAAAAAATCCTTTTGATGAAACAACAGGATTTCAAAGTAGTTTGAGTTAGAGGATCAGAATATATATATATATATATATATATATATATACTTTAAAGAATGTAGTGTACCAGTCAGTGTGTTTTTTATTTATTTACAGTATGTCTTCATTTGTATGATTGTGTGTGTAGTAGCTTGTTTTTAGCACTCCATGTGCTCGTTAAATCATAACCTGTATGAATGCCCCATATGAAGTCATGCTTACAGGCATACTCTGTGTATTTGTGAGCTTGTACACAGGTATGTCCACACCTGTGCCAGTTTGTGTGTGTGCATGTATGTGAGTGCACGCTCCAGTGGGCATGGTGCCCACAGGATTAAACCCAGTCTCCATGCTGTCCTTCAGCTTCAAACACTCAGGGTCATCAGGGGCAATAGCCGTGGGCATTTTGCATATAGAACAGCAGCCTCAGTAACTCCATTTCCTCAGAGGGCAATACTCCTCAACAGAGAGAATAAATGCAACCTTAGCTTCACAGCTCTTGGTATTTCAGACCCAGGTTTGTTTGTACATGATTATGTTGCAGAATGAATAGGGTCCATGTTAACAACAGTATTGAGTGTATTTTGAATAGCTCTGAGTCAGGGCTTTAAATATATATATTATAACCATTATAACACTTATAACCTCTATAACCATTAGAAATTATTTATTTTATTTCATTTATCTTTTATACAAATATTTCCTTGAACATTTTTAACTATCTTAACTATCTTACACTTCTAAATTGTTTTTTAAAGGTAGGGTAGGCAATTGTTGGAGAGGCTAGCAATAGCGAGTAGGGGTGTGAACACTAGTCTCACGGTTCGGTTCGATTATGATTATCATGTCATCGATTCAGTTCAATTCGATATCACGATGCATTGGGATGCACCGCATCCTCAATTTTCAATTTTACTTCAAAAGTGATGTGTGCGTGCGTGTGAGTGCGTGCGTGCGTTCGCCTCTTCGGGAAGTCGCAGTGACAGAAACAGTGACATTCCAGTTTAAGTTTCAAGGGAGTAAAAAGCCTGTTTATGCCATTAAGAAAATGAAATTCTGTCAAATCAATTTTGTTTTAAAGAAATGTTAAAGCAGCGCTCATTCATCAGTGTATAATGTTACCATTAGAGATGCGTGCATCAACCGTCGCCGACTGTTGAAGGTGACGATCATCCATGTATAATCACGCGTAACAACAACACAGAATAATTGTAATTTGACCATCGGGTGTGGATATTTAATTTAGAGAAAATTATTGGTGCGGGTGGATGATTTGTTTTTGGCTGCGGATTCAGGTGACGTTGCGCTCATCTGCGTACTCTAAAAGCAGTCAGACTCTGCCAGGCGTTAACAGCTCGAGGTGAAAACGACTAACGTGGTTTATCAAGTTAGTGGTATTGCCTCCTGCATATTCTATTTGTGCGTGACATGAGTGCACACAGCGCGTGTCTTCTCCAGGTAGGGCTTACCAGGTTGTTCATAAAAGCCGAAATGTGCCCAGATGTAGGCTTTTAAAGTAGTTGGAGCATTTTTAATTACTCTCACTCTTGTCTCGCCTCCCTCTGCCGTTGTATGCTACCGCAACAAAGCACACACGCGACAAATGACGTCAGAAAAGCGTCAGTAATCGGTTATGGTCTATTACTGAACCGATACCGAATCGTAATTGTCTGCATCACGATGCATCGTAGAAACGATTAATTTCGACACCCCTAATAGCGAGCTAGCTTTGAAGCATAAGATCCCACCCTCCCTTTCATAGCGCTCTCGAAAGCCACGCCTTCTTCAAAACACATGAACGGTTGCAGCAGGGAGAAAACAAAAGTGTCACAAGAGATGGTGTTAAACTACCTTGTGTCTCAAAGCACATAACGTTACAAAAAAATTAACATTAAACATTCGGACCGAATGCAATGATTGGATGAACATTTTATGGTCCTACGCCTTCCACAGATGTTATATAAATACATTTAGACCACTTAAAGGTGCTCTAAGCGATGTCATGTGTTTTTTAGGCCAAAACATTTTTTGTCACATACAGCAAACATCTCCTCACTATCCGCTGGCTGCCTGTCCCCTGAACACACTGTAAAGAAACGCGATCTCTGTAGACAGCCCATGCTTCACAAACAGCACCAAAAACAAACTGCAGCGACCCGCTCCCCAAAACATAACAAACTGTTCCAGCCAATGACCGACAAGAAGGGTTTGGGGGTGTGGTTTGGGGGGTTAGTGTGCGGATGAGGAGGAGGGAGGGTCTAGCTAGCCTCCGTTTTGTTTGACAATAGTTCGAACGTCAACAAGAAGTGACGTCACCCAGGATCGCTTAGAGAACCTTTAACGTAGGGATTGCTATCAGGATGTGAGGAGACTTTCAGCCAGCATAACAAAATATTTTTCTGG